AGAGAGAGAGAGAGAGAGAGAGAGAGAGAGAGAGAGAGAGAGGGGGGGGGATAGAGAGAAAGCACAAGAGAATAAATAAATCACGGTTGACAAAAAGGACAATAAATTAAATAGTGAATAGATGGATTATTTGTTAGCTGTGTTCTTCACCTCCTGTGTCTGGATCATGGAAGTTTGGGTCCAGGCCTTTCTCCAGGAACCTTGAAACCTTTTCAATGTTTCTCTGCTGCACATACTCCATAAACTTCTTCAAGTTTGCCTAATGGAGAGAGACAAGGGAATGGGGAGATCGGGAAGCAAGAGGAAGAGACAGCTGTGATTGGGCGATGTCAGACTCATGTGGATGGTGATGTTTAATAATGCAGCAGTTCAGAGATGAAAGCTTAAGTGTCTTTTCTCTGCTTCTATGTTGGAAGGTTTTATTTTTGTTCCATCATACCAAGAAAATGGACCATGTGCAGTAGATGTATGAGCTATTATAGGATGAACCAAAAAAGACAACGCAAAGTGCTGCAGAGTAAAAGAAAAACTGCTTTTGCGCATCCCTTCCCATTGTTACGTATATGGTGCATCACAACAGCTTTGTGTGGACGTCTACGGTGCACTGACTGAAGCGGTGGTGTGGAAAGTTCAAACTTGTTGAGCTTTCACCTCAGTTAGACTGACCTTAGTGGGCAAAGCCCATAACTTAGGACCACTTCCTGAACTGAAAAGAATTATGAAAAACTGTGTTTTTAAATTTCCAGAATTGCAAAATACAAACTGTCCTCCTAAGTTAAAAAGACAAGATAATAATTTGCAGTGGTCATTATACTCTGCAGTGCATGAGAGCTAATATCAATGTTTAAAACCATTTTCATTATACAACATACACATGTGCAAATCCGACCCAGCCAAATCCCAATGTACGCATGCACGCACACCAACACACACACACTTCATTTCTTCTGTAAATATTCATCCCCTGTGCTGATGAACATAGAACTATTCTTTAGTCTGAAGAATGAGAGGATCGGGTAAACAATCTATCTTTGACTGTGAGACAATATTATAGGCCAGAATGTATTTCATGACCATCCACTGTAATTACACTAGAAAAATATTATGTTAGCATTATGGTTATATAAACTACATTAAAAACATTATGAAAACATGATAGCCTAAGATGTATCTTGAGGACCTAATTATAGTTTCTGCAATATCCCAAATGAGCTTCAGAACTTTCACTATCATCGCACTCAAGGTTTCTGAGCACAGGTCATTACATAACATCCACATGTGCAAGAGCTTCCACACACACACACTTAAGCACACGAATACACAAACTGTATTTACAAACTTGATTATTTGCACACAGCTCAGACAGGAATGACAAGAGAATCAAGCAGCCGTTAGACACTCACCATATGCGGCATCATCTACCATATATCCCTCGCTCTGAAAAGTCACACTCTACGATACCTTCCAAATTTCACATCACACAGCGTCTCTCTCGTCACATTGAGACATCTGGAGCCCGCTTGCCTCTACAAGCCTGCTTCGCGTTCACACAGACACACACTGACATGCCGCGAGGAGCTACCGACTGTTACTCTCACCATCTCCAAGTCAGACTGGGTGAGAGAAATCCACTTTGGCTTTTTCCTTTTTTCCCAGATGCTCTGTGAGGCAGTTGTTATGGTGATGGGATACAAAGACAGCCCTGGCAGCCAATGTACACGAGTGGGAAGAGCACTGAGGTTGCGTTGTTCGAGTATGTCTGTGTGTGTGCGTATGTGTTTTTGTATCTTGCACATTGCCTTGGGAGAGGGATGATTTTCCAGTGATCAGTTGGATTTTATTGCCTGTTTAACAGAGGGCTGATAAAAAGTCTTTGTAATGATTTATCTGCTTTGGTGATATTAATAAATATTTTCTCCCTCTTGTCATCATCCTTTCTCTCAAACAGGCACAAATAAACACAAACAGTCAGTGTAATCAACTGTCAGTGTCAATCCAGGTCAAATTGATCAATACAAGATCATTTTTAGATTAAAGTCTCAGTTAAATTTAAAAATGTGATTACGATAATATAAAGTAATAAAACAGATTACTTCACGATTGACTGATTTAAACATAAAAAAAGATCAAATACATTGTGGTCCTCTCCTGCAGCAAGTCAGAATAATCAGTGTGAGAGCTTTTCACTCCCATCATGTGGTACACTTGCTGCTGAGTGGTGTGAGCAGAGGAAGATATAACATGGCGTGCAAGTGTGCACAGAAAGCCTACATACACACACTCACACAATAATGGTGAACTTATGTTAGGAAGGCGTTTTAAGGCGGGCAGGGACAGTCGTTCCACTCCGTTGCCATCCAAAAACCTCAAATGAATAAGTTAGTAGTGAACTGAAACATACAGTCACAGGCTACAGCACTTAAAACATGTTGTCATGTATGAAACGACCCAACATGACCATGTAACCAGACAATTTGATTACAATAGGTGGATTTTTTAAACAGCTCTAGTATAGAAATGACTCTGGCCCAAGGACCAAACAGTAATTTTCCTTCATTTAAAACCGAGCGCCATTGATGCCCCCTGTGTTCTTTAAACTATAAATATAAAAGTAACAGCCATAAATTAAGTGGCTTATCAATTAACTGATTTCCAGTACTTAAAATGTATTTAGAAGTTTTAAAAGTTTTACTAAAAAGAAAAGACATTTCAAGTCAAACTCTTCAAAAATTCCCTTAACGTTATCCTTTGGAAATGTAAAAAAAAAAAGAATCATACAAAATTTTAATATGTGCACCTCTTATAAATCTGCTTCTTCAGATTCAGCAATTCTCTTTCTTCCTAACTTAATCAAAAACTCCCTGTCATGTTCCCCAGCTTCAACAAAAACTTGGAGAAAAGCCTTCAGCTGGTACAGAGAGATAACTGTGGATCGTTTTTTTGCAACCATCTGTGCAATGATTACCTATTACTCTTAGTAGCAACAGCTAAATGCTAGATAAGTCTATCTATTGCATTTTCACTCCCTTAATCAGTTTGTGCATGTACAAGCAGCATATCCTAATTTATGTGTGAGATAAAACCCCACTCCACACTTCATGAAATACTTTAAAATTTAAAAAGTAAAAGTGCAAACATTTTAAGAAAGAAAAAGTAGTAATTGTCTGTTTACATTACATTCATTCATTAATTAATAAATGTTTTATTGACAGGTTGCATAGAGTGAAGCAGAAAACTAATTCTGGGGCAAAGAGCAATCAGAAGGAAGTTCTGCTCACATAAAAACCACCGTGTCAGCAAAAATAAAACATCAAATATTGTGAAAAAACAACTCATCGAAAGAGGAGGGATGATTAACTGTTAAATCACAAAATCATGTCCCTTAAAACCTTCATTTCCAGCAGCTGAAAAGATGACCAGTGATATCATAATTGATAGTATATGCACTTGATATATCAATAAAACAAAAGCAAGGTTTCTGGAAAAAAAAATTCTACATGAGCAAAATGGCATTCAGAGCACAAACCTTCACCAAAGTCATACAGTCAACTTATGAACCCATATTTAAATGCACTAGATCATGATTTTTTTTGGATCTGGACCAAAGTTTCATGGTAATTTGTCCAGTGGTTTTAAGTAATCTCACTTACAAACAAACAAACAAACAAATGCAAAATGACAAAGGAACAGCAAAGGTCTTGAAAAACAATTTTTCACTCAACCTGAAAAAGACTAACACAAAAAGTGACATATGGACTTGAAACATTACACAGACTATACAGGATGATTAATGAACATGTAGCATCCATGTAGGCTTCTCTGGCAATCGTCCCTGTTTGTAGCAGCATGACAGCTTGTCTGAAACCACGTACTGCACAGCCGTAGGAGGCAATAACCCACTAACACAGAAACACCAGTCAATCACACTAATAGGAAAATAGTTGGGGAGCTATGATTGAACTCATTACTTGGGGAGTTGACATGTGCATGCTCTGGTGAAACCATATTGTCTGTAGCTATTTCCGCATAAGAGCACAATTACTGCTTAGTGAAAGTCAGTGAATGTGAATTACATGCCCTTAATTTTGTGAAGTACAAATCAATGTTTTTATTGCCAAGCCTTAAAGATCCAGCATGCACACTAATGAGCCAAAACATTATGGGCACTTACAAATGAAGGCAATAATGTTGATTATCCTATGACGATGCATGTCTGGTTTTGGGATATATAAGACGATAAGTAAAGTGTTAGTTCTCACAGTCAGTATGTTGAGTACAGGAGAACTGGACACCTGTAAAGACCTGAGCGACTTTGACAAAGGCCAGATCGTTACGACTTGACAACTGGATCAGCACATCTCTTAAAAGGCAGCAGTGGGATGCTCCCTATCAGAAGGGTTGAGCACCTATTGACAACAATCGGATGGAGAGACAAGCCACCAACTGCCAGTGACAGGGTGATAGGCAATGGGATGAAACAAACTCTGATCTGTGGTGACTTCACACTACAACTTATAGGATTTAACAGATCTTCTGTTAATATCTTGGTCCCAGATTCACCAGGGCACCTTCAGGAGTCTTACAGGGTCAGAGCTGAGCCGGTCAGAGCTCAGCGGCACATGGACCAACAGCATAATGGTCCATTTTAGATTCAAACTATATTAAAACTCTTCATTATCAGACTAGAATTAATGTTCCACTAACACAAAACCACATCATACAAGCCAATGCCTCACACAGGTTGACACTCTTGCATCTGTACATGTTTTCATACATGTAAATTACCTGCAATATCATGGATTCCATGGTAAAATACCATCGCATACACAAGTGCACACTCAAATGCATGTAAGTCGTCCACAGCCCTATCCATGGGGGAATGGGGGCCCAATGAAATCTAAAAGGCAGATGTGGAAAACTGTGTTGCGCCTTTAAGAGAAGCTCATTTTGAATTAAATAATGTAGAGAAGGTATCTACAGACATTATAGATGTAAATCCATTAGAAACAAAAAGCTGCACAGAGAATTGTTTTCCTTTAGCAGGAAAGATGCGTTCTTGGCCATTCCAAACTAATGTTGGCTAATGGAGGAGGAGACAGTTCCTATCTCTTTTCAAGAGCCATTCAATACGGATTACCAACACAGCAGGAAACTCTCAGGCAGCTGATATTCGTCTGTCACATAACGTAAGTCTCAGTCTCTTGTCTCACATCAATTGCCCTTGAATCTTATACTTTATTCAAAGCCATAAACGGTAAG